AAGGGGGCATTCTGATTCCCAAAGTCCTGCCCAGCTCCCTGGTCCATCCTCACACTGGGCTCTTGCACTGTCCCCTGGCATCAGAGTCTTGTTTTGACTCTCCTGAATCCATTTTCTTACAGTCAAGGTCGTTCTAAACTGTGAATCCCGTCAGATCCCTCCCGGGGCTTCCCAGAGCCACAGGTTAAACTCCAGCTGCTTTAGCGTAGATAATATGAACACTTGGTCCCTGCTCACACGCTCTCACCTCAGTCTCACCCTCCTTGCCTGGCCCTGCGGTGCTCTGTGACCTCTGACCCCAGCACACCTCCTGACTTTCGCATCCCCAGTAGCCCCTCTCGGCTTGCTAGCACGAGCTCCCTCTACCCTTAAGCTGCAGGGACCAGGCACAAAGCTACCTGCCAGCATCAGGCTGCCCTAGGCTGGTTCATTGTCTCTTCCCGGCACACAGTAGGGCCTCAGGAATACTGTGTGCCAGGAAGGGTCCTCCTAGAGAACTTGTGCCCTGGTGTGGCTCTGGTTCACCTTTCCAGTTCCCCTGACTCAGAGTTCTCAGTTGGGAAAGCATTTGTCTTAGTGGCTTTGAATCTTACGGCAGTGCAGTGTGGGAAGGAGATGCCTCAGTAGCCCTGACCCATTGGGGGAATCATCCAGGTTCATGTCAGCTCTTTCTGTGAACTTGGCAGAATCAGCATTCTTTTATGTTGCTAATAAGTAAGTTATTGGTGGCAAAAGAGTCTAAAACATGAAGTCATTTTCTGAGGGAAGGTGTGCGCCACCAGTCCTGATGTGACTTTTTTTTTTTTTTAACTTTGAATTGGCTGCTTTGATTGGCTTTTCAGGGACAGGTGGCCAAACTTGGCTTTCTGGGTACAGAGTATGACCTCAAGTTTGGGGATGCTGTTGCAATTGTTGCAATGATAATATGAGTTTTTAAACATATGTTGTCTTGGGCTGGAGATACAGCTTAGTCAACTAAAGTGTTTGTGGTACAAGCACGAGTATCTGAGTTTGACTCCCCCTGCCCCGCAGAAAAATCTGGGTACAGCTGCATTCCAGAAATCCAGTCCTAGGAAGGTAGAGACAGGGGGTTCCTAAAGTTTGCTGGCCACCCAGACTAGCTAGTCACTGAGCTCCAAGTTCAGTGACAGACCCTGTCTCAGAAACAAGTGGAGAGCCATCCAAGAATACACCCGACATTGAACTGGCCTCCGCATGTACATATATGCACACGGGCTCCCCCATACACAAAAACGTTCTCTCTCTAACCCTCTTATTTTTCTCTAAAGACAATCTCGGGCTTCACGGTAGCCTTTTTGTAAAAGCAGCGATAACAATCACTGTTCTGATCTCAGCCCATACAGAACACATGGGGCCGCGCTGGCCATGGTCTGTGGTACATCGTGCCCACAGTGGAAACATCTGCTCAACATAAGTGAAGACGCCCACTGGAGTGGCCAGGCACCCCTGAGATCTAAAGTTTCCATCAGAGTGACATCTTCCACTAAGAACAAAATCAAAATCTGTTTCAGAAATAACATGGGCTTCTTTTTTTTTTTTTTGGTTTTTCGAGACAGGGTTTCTCTGTGTAGCTTTGCGCCTTTCCTGGAACTCACTTGGTAGCCCAGGCTGGCCTCGAACTCACAGAGATCCGCCTGGCTCTGCCTCCCGAGTGCTGGGATTAAAGGCGTGCGCCACCACCGCCCGGCTATGGGCTTCTTTTTAAGAATCTGAAAGCTTAAATAATTTCATTTATTTGGGTCATTGAAGTGTATATTTGTTCTATTAAAACAAATTATTGGATTTCCGAAACTGCCTTCCAAATGGAACCGTTTTCTCCTGTCTCCATTTTCCTTTGTTGATATCTCCTGAGGAAACAGTGAGTCATATCCCAAGTTCCTGTGTTTTTCACTTACTCATAGGTGATGCCAAAATATACGATGACAAGGTGTCATACAGTCCAGAAAGTAAACACACTCCACTATGGTTTGAATCTGGAATGTTCCATACAGGTACATGTTCTGAGCATGTGGCCACAGCTGGCAGTACTGTTTCCATAGATTATGGAACTTTGGGATCTGGAACATAGCTAGGGGGTGTAGCCCATTCAGGACGGGCCTTCGAAGGTTACACAAGCCTCTGGTGCTGGTCTAGCCTCCTCCGCACCTATATGTGAGGAACCATATACCATACTCGTCCCATTGCCAAGAGTGGATCACTCATGCTGCCATGCCATCCCTTCCATGACATCCTGGATTCCTCCGAGACACGGAAATAAAGCAAACCTCCCGTCCACTTAGCTTTTCTGAGGTGCTCTGTCACAGGGATGAGAAAGGTAGCTAACGCAGCCTCCATCCGGTAAGCACATGCTGTGTGTTTTCTGTGTTCCTAGTTAGGAGCAAATGAGAGTCTCAGGTACCCCCAGATGCATCACACCAGACAGGTCGGAGGGCCCCATCACACATGGATGGTGGAGCTCAGGTACCCAAGATGCACCACACCAGACAGGTCGGAGGGCCCCATCGCATGTGGAGGGTAGCACACACAGACTAAGACACCAAGTGCCCAAAGGCAAGAGACGTCACTTTAGAACTGACAGGGTTTCTGGGTAGGTGATTCATCTGTTGTCCCCACTACTCAGAAAGCCAAGGCAAGAGGATCCTTGATCCCAGCGGTTCCAGCCTGGTAACAAGCTGACACTTTGAGTCACAAAGCAAATTTGTCAAGGAAAATAAGAACTGCCAGGTGGTGGTGGTGCACGCCTTTAAACCCAGCACTCAGGAGGCAGAGGCAGGTGGATCTCTGTGAGTTTGAGGCCAGCCTGGTCTACAGAGCTAGTTCCAAGACAGCCAGGGCTATGGATATGCAGCCTATCTCAAAAAAAAATATGTTTATATATTGTTAGAATTAAGATTTATTTTACTATGTGTAAAATGTATATATATGAGTCAGAAATGGTAGCACACACATGTAATCCCAGCACTTGGGAAGCGGAGGCAGGAGGATCAGGAATTCAACATCATACTTTACTACTTACCAAATTTAAGGCTAGCCTGGGCTATGTGGCCTCCTATTTCCTAAATACCCACCCCTCAAAAAGAAAAAGAACACAAAGATGAAGAAGAAAAATTCTCTGCACAAACCAAGAACGGGAGGGAACTTTCTTAGTCTGATCAGGGAATTTTACATTTTCTCTGTAAAAGAAGAAAAGACTATCATGTTGAATTAATCCTATCACTTAAGTCAGGAGTGAGAAATAATGGACTAGAAAGGGAAGAAACTACTGTCATTGTAAACAAATTGATTGCCAATGAGGGAAACAATGTATCCACATATGGTTAGAAATGACAGGAAGGGCTGTCCAAGAGGCAGCTGAGCAGGCCAACCACATCCCCACCTCCAACAACAAAGCAAACCATCCAGAAGTAACAACAAAGCGAAAGTTTTAGAAATTTTCCTAAATTTCCAACATTCTAAAAGGGCTGGAGCAGTCTCAGTGGTTAAGAGTTCCTACTGATCCTGCAGAGGGTCTGGGTTTGGGTGGCTCACAAGCCCCTGCAACTGCACCCAGGGGTCTGATGCCACCCACAGGCCTCCAAGAGCACCTGCACCCACATGCACATACCTGCACACAGACACAGATATATGCACAGTTTACACATAGGAAAATAATAAAAGAAATCTTAGTTCTAACAAAAACGTGAGACAAGCAAGTTTCCCTAAGGACATTTGATAGCGTGGCGTGCACTTTCGAGAATGTTGATTTTTATGTATAAAGTCCTTTTCTTCCTTGAAATAACTTGGACTGCTTGAAACGAACCACTCAGCCATTTGAGCTGGGGGTACCAGCTCCCTTCTCCTGCCTGGCTGCCTCTGATGGGAAAACACCAGCCGAGAAACCATTTGGCAGACAGCCCAGATGTGTTCAATCTTCCCCTCCACTCTGGGGAACCCTTCACCCCAGCTGTGAGGATCCCTACAGCCGAGCTCAGACTCAGGCTCCAGGCATGGCTGCCCCACAGGCCCTGCATTGGCCTCGGAAGACACACTCCAAGATCAGCTTCTATAAACAGTGGCCCAGCTCTCCTCCCATCAGCCATTTTCACTCACACAGACCTGAGGGAGCACTGGGGGCTCTGCAGAGAGCTAGTGACTGGTACAACAGGAGACCTGTGATTGGCCTTTATGTAAGGCCTCTGATTGGTGGAGCTGTGCAGTGATTGGTGTAAATTACAATGCTTCATTTGCATGCCACACTGGTGCCAAGTCCTTTTTCTAGCTTTTATAACTGGGCTGATGGGCTCATCTTATTTATTTTTCAAATTTATTGCACTTGTTTATTTGCTTCTGTGTGTATGCCCATTCAGGCACATGTCTGAACTGTGGGACATACATGGGTATCAGTTCTCTCTTTCGTGTTATTGGGATTGGTGGCAAGAACCTTTATCTGCTGAGTCATCTGACCAGCACTGCTAGAGCGTTTTATTGAAGCAATAGGAAAAGGAACTAAGATAATGGCCAATGACTTTGGATTTATTTTTTAGTTTTCAAGACTGGGTTTCTCTGTATAGTGGTAGCTGTCCTGACACTCACTATGTAGACTAGGCTGGCCTCGAACTCACAGAGATCTGCCTGCCTCAGCCTCCTAGTTCTGGGGTTAAAGGCATGTGCCTCGCCATCCAGCTTTGGCTTCAGCCAATGTTTGTTGTCTAAAATACGTAAGGGATTTTTATGAGTTGATAAGAAAAAGGCAAGTTATTTTTAATGGGGAAAAATAAAACGAGCAAATATTTCATTTAAGAAGAATCACAAAGGCAGAGAGATGATTCAGTGTTAAAAACACTACTGCTCTTGCAGAGGACAGGGGTTCTGTTCCCAGCATCCATGTGGGGCAGCTCACAACCTCCTATAACTCTAGTTCTGAGGAGATATAGTGCCCTCTTCTGGCCTTTATGGGCATTGACATCCATAGGATGCACATAAACACACAGACACGTACATAAAAATAAGTAGACCTTTTTATTTTATTTATGTGGCACAAATTCTAATTGGTCTTAATAATAAAATCCCACAGCCAGATATTGGTTAACTAGTGGCTAGCTCCACACTCTGATCTCCAGGCAAGCTTCATTTGTTAGAGCACAAACAGAATATCACCACATATTTATTTTTAATTTTATTTATTTGACCTTTTTTTTGAGACAGGATCTATCTGTGTAGCCTTAGCTATCCTGGAACTCACTCTGTAGACCAGGCTGGCCTCAAACTCACAGAGATGCACCTGCCTCTGCCACTGCCTCCTAAGTGCCGGGATTAAAAGCATGCATCAGTCTGCCTAGCTAAATCTTTCTTTTTTTTAAATTTATTTTTTTAAGTTTTATTTATTTATTATGTATACAGCATGGATGACTACAGGCCAGAAGAGGGCACCAGATCTCATTACAGATGGTTGTGAGCCACCTTGTGGTTGCTGGGAATTGAACTCAGGACCTCTGGAAGAGCAGTTAGTGCTCTTAACCTCTGAGCCATCTCTCCAGCCCTAAATCTTTCTTTTATAAAAGGGTCAAATAGGATATGACTATGTGACAGGTCACTCATCTGTCAAGAAAGAAATACAAAATAAGACTACAGTAAATGCTATTTGTACTACCACACTGACAAGATAAGGGAGTCTGATGATAGCCAGGGCAGGGAGGTTGTCAGTCATTAAAGCAGTCAGATGCCGGCAAGAAGGCAGCAGCATGACAGACCAACGCTCAGAAAAGCATGTGCCGCCACGCCCACCTAGTTACTGTATTTATTGCCTGGCTCAGCTATGTGCCTGGCTGCAAAGGTTAGCATCTAACCAATCATATATGTCTGAAGTGGCAAACCCCTCTTTGCTATAGGTGCCCAACATTCCAAGTAGAAACTGCTCCCTCCTCCCAGGTCAAAGAGACAGCTTACAAAGGATGCAGACGTTGTTTGTGGTGTTGTGGAGACAGAACACGCACAGACGTTGTTTACGGTGTTGCTAAGATGGACCACCTGAACAGCGCAGTCTGGGGCAGGAAGAGTTTGTTTGGCTCCTGGTTTCGGGGGGATTTTGGTCCATCGCAGCAGAGAAGGCATGGTACCAGGAGTATATGGTGGCATTCACAGCAGCAGGAGCAGCTGTGGAAGGCTCCTTCACGCTGAGTGGTTCAGGGAGCCGAGAAAGCAGGCTGGGACCGGGGACACGTAGAACCGTCAAGGAACTGCCCTAAATCTCCTGCCAGCCAGGCTCACCTCCTAAAGCCTCAGCAGCCACCAGCTGGGATCCAAGCTTTCAAAGCTTGTAACAGACAGAGCCACAGCTAGAAGGGGCCTGTGATCACAGTAAGAGATGAGTTTGGCGGACGAGGGAGATGCTCGCCCGGTTAAGTGCATGCTGTGCAAGCGTGAGAACCCAAGTTCAGTCCTCAGAACCCACGAGAAAAAGCCAAGTGTGGTAACACACACTTGTAATCCCAGCCCTGGGGAAGTGGAGCCTGGGAGAACCCTGGGGCTCCTGGACCAGCCAGCCGAGCCCTAGATCAGTAAGAGATCTGAAGAACAGCACTCGAGGTTGACATCCGGTTCACACACACACACCCACACACCCACACACACTCAAAAAGAAATGTCCCTCCATTTCGCTGGACTCCACCGGGATGCAGGTGTCACTTATTATTTCTGCATAACAGGGCTCATCCTAACTGATGAAGGCATCTGCCCTGAGGCCCAGCAATTATTCTACTTTCAGTCTGTCTCCCTGGTGACTCTCCCGCCCAGACAACAGTAAAAGAACTTGGGTAAAACAGTAAAAGAACCAGTGACTGAAGATCCCGAACATAGCTCTGGAGAGGACAGACTGGTCTCTGCAGAAGGGACACCCCTTGGTGCTCTACACAGCAACGGGAGTTATAAATACAGTTCTGATGACTAAAGCAAGCTGCTTCCACACAGCATGATATCGGAACGCTCAAAAACACTCACCACAGTTAGGGGGTACCTAACTACACGATAAGGATTTTTGGAATCGAGAAAAACAGAAAAGAAAAACAAAACAAAACAACAACAACAACAAAAAACCAGGGCTGGAGAGATGGCTCAGAGGTTAAGAGCACTGGCTGTTCTTCTAGAGGTCCTGAGTTCAATTCCCAGCAACCACATGGTGGCTCACAACCATCTGTAATGAGATCTGGCGCCCTCTTCTGGCCTGCAGGCAGAACACTGTTTACATAATGAATAAATAAACCTTTAAAAAAACCAAAAACAAACAAACAAAATAAACAGGAAGAGAAAAACAGGCTCAAATTTCGCAAGAGCTCAATTTTTATAATTTTAAAAATTGAAAGGATAGCTGGGCATGGTGGTGCACAGTTTGAATTCCAGTACTCTGGAGGCAGAGGCAGGTGGATCTCTGTGAGCTTGAGCCAGTCTGATCTACAGAGTGAGTTCTAGGCCAACCAGGGCTACCCAGTGAGATCGTGTCTCAAATAAATAAATAAATAAGATTTAAAACCATTTTTAGCTCTTAAGCTGTACAGGAGCCACATAAAGGGAAGCAGCAGCCATGTTTGACCATGGCGGGGTGGGGTGGGGTGAGGGCGAGGTGGGGGTGGGGAGGCCTTGCTCCGGTGAGGTCACAGGTGTTCCCTCTTCTCAGTGTTTTGTGCCTTTCCTGGTTGGTATGTTTACTGATGAGCCTGACACAGAGCAGCAGAAGTGTGGGGAGGGAGAGGACACAGGAGAGACACACATGTGAACTCCTCTGAAGCTCCCCCTCAAATTCTGACAGGCCTTTTCCAGATGGGGACACGGGAACACGGGGCCTCCCACTCTCCAGACAGTGGAGGGAAGTGGTGTAGTAAGTGAGAAACCTGGGGAAATTTGGGTGGGGAAACATGCTGCTTATTACATAGAGCCATACATGCATCCTATTTACACCTACACCACACACACACACACACACACACACACACACACACACACACACACACCTACATTGATTTTACAAGGATTTTAGCTGGACCACTGGTCCATGTAATCCAACTGAAACTGCCATTTTCTTTAGATTAGGTTATATATCTTGGAGTTTTTTTTGTGTGGGGGGGTTGGTTTTTAGTTGTTTTTTGTTTTGTTTTGTTTTGTTGAGACAGGGTTTCTCTGTGTAGTTTTGGAGCCTGTCCTGGAACTTGCTCTGTAGACCAGGCTGACCTCCAATTCTGCCTCCCGAGTGCTGGGATTAAAGGCGTGTGCCACCACCACCTGGCTAGTTGTTTGTTTTTTGACACATGGTTTCTCTGTACAGCCCTGGCTGGCCCGGAACTCACAGAGAATCGCCTTCTCCTGGCTCCCTAGTGCTGGGATTAAAGGTGTGCACCTTCACACCCAGCATTATATATATCTTATTAAGGAGAATCCAAAAATTGGTCTTTCACCTCATACTCTTCCCACACTCCTATTAAAAATGTCCAGGGCAGTGCTGGAGAGATGGCTCAGTGGTTAAGACCATTGGCTGCCCTTGCGAAGGACACAGGTTTGGTTCCCAGTACACAACTATCCATAGCTTCAATTTCTGTGGATTCAACACCCTCTCTTCTGGCTTCAGCTGGCATCAGGAACCACATGGTGTGTGTGCATGAGTGCACACACACACACACACACACACACACACACAGGCAAAACACTCATACACAAAGTTTAAAAATAAAAATTTAAAAATGGTAAAGACAAATCCATTAGCATTAGAAGAGGCTTGGATGGGGTGAGCACTTGCACATTGTCTAGGATGGTGTTGGGAAAGGACAGTGGGGTTCTTGTGCTGCTCCTCGATTTCCTGAGGACCCCCACATCTCCTGGGATGGCACATCACATCTCATAGCTTCCTCCTTCTTCTTCCTCTGGAAATCGGCAGCTACACCCATCTTCCTCTTGAGCCGTTCGAGCGGCCATCTTAAATGCTAGGAACAATGGACACAATGTAAGACACTTCCAGTCTCCTGCCTCAGACACAGTTCTGTTCCACAAGTCACACCCACAAACCTCCTCAATCCTAATTTGAGCAAACTAACCTACCGACCAGGTAACAGCATGTATGAGCTTTCTGGGGACGGCTGATTTTATCTTACTGTGTTTTGTTTTATTGTGTTGTGTTTTGTTTGCAGACAGGGTCTCACTCTATTGTCTGGGCTGACTTATAACTCTCTCTGTAGGTCAAGCCGGCCTTGGACATGTAGCAATCTCCTTAGGTCAGCCCCCCAGGTGCTGGCATTATAGGCATGCCTCAACATGTTGGGATTTCCTTCCTTCCTTCCTTCCTTCTTTCCTTCCTTCATCTTTAAAAATCATTTTCTATATTTTATACAGTGGCTTAAAAACAACAATAAACCAAAGTTTGAGCCCAACTCACAGCACCATAAAGCATGGCTTACATTGCAGGCACAGCTGTGTATTTAAAGCAGCAGCGCCCCCGCCCCACCCCACTTTTTTTTTTTTTTTTTGTTTTGTTTTGTTTTGTTTTTTGAGACAGGGTTTCTCTGTGTAGCCCTGGCTGCCCTGGAACTCACTCTGTAGACCAGGCTGGCCTCACTCACAGATATCCGCCTGCCTCTGCCTCGAGTGCTGGGATTAAAGGCGTGCGCCACCACCGCCAGCTGTCCACAGCCTCTATTTCATTCTCTCAAGTACTTCAGATTGACTCCTTTTCCATGTGACCCTGTGGCCCAGTTGTGTCCCACCAAGTCTGTCTATGAAAGCAAAGAACTGATCTGTACAGCACAGGAGGATCTGTTACACATGGCTGTGACCTCTCCGCCCTTCAGCTGAACAGCCTTCCATCTATAGTTTCTTTAAACTTAACAAAGCAAAAGGCCCTGTTCCAAGGCCATGTCTTCTATGTCCTAGATCCTATTTTAAAAGGGAGGAGGGGGAGGGGAGGTAAGTTAAGTCAAGACTGAGAAACCCTGATGGGATATCTTTTGAAATTATATCCAAAATTAACCAAAATAGTAGCGATTTGCTTCAGGGAGAAGATGCCATACTTCCCAATATTTGCTGCTCTGTACTGTCTAAAACTCCAGATATAACCTAGGAAACAAGCACAAGATGGTGGGAAGGTAGAGAGGTATAGCTGAAGTTTTCCTATGTCCCACCTGGCCCACGGTCAGGACAAATCTCTCTCACCCTCCAGTCCTGAAGCCACTTGGACCCAAGCAAACACACAGAGGCTTATATTAATTAAAACTGTATGGCCTAGTGGCTCAGGCTTCTTGCTAGCTAGATCTTACATCTTAAATTAACCCATTTCTATTAATCTGTACCTTGCCACATGGCTCATGGCTTACCAGTATCTTTATATCTTGCTTCTCATGGCGGCGGCAGTAGTGGCGATGGTGGCTGGCAGCGTCTCCTGACTCAGCCTTCCATTTCCCAGAATTCTCTTCTCTGCTTATCCCGCCTATACTATACTTCCTTCCTGGCTACTGGCCAATCAGCACTTTATTTATTAACCAAATCAGAGCAACACATTCACAGCATACAGAGTGATATCCACAGCAGAGAGGGCAGGATGGCCAAGACTCTCAGGGCCTAAGACGCAGCATGGCAGTAAGTGGTCTGGGTTTTCCTTCTGCCTCCTGTTCCCAGAGGGGAGCTGGAAGAGCGGGGAGCCTGGGGATGCCTGCACAGGGGTCGGAAAATCCTGCCCACTCCAGCTACAAGACCAGGGACAGAACAGCCTAGCAAGATGGGAGGCTTCTAGACAATCAGGGATGGTCACAGCAAAGGCCAGGGCCAGTTCTAGGCCCCCTAGGGAATGGGGCCTGTCACTCTGGCTAGACTGTGTCCAGGTTCACCAGCTCTTCCTCAGAGGAAGCCAGTGGAGAGTCACACTATACTGCCACCCCTGGTGCCACCCTTGAGATCTCAATCCCAGGCCACCTGGACAGCATAAGCAAGTGTGATTTGTCATCTAAGCCAGGGTGATATCAGCTGGGGCCTGGAAGGGTCTTCAGAGAAGGATGAGCCCTTCTAGGAAGTTTAGGGCAGAACTTCCTGGGAGTGGCCTCAGGGGAAGTCTGAGAAAACAAAGTTTAAATTAAACTCTAAGTCTCTTAACAGGATGGGTTTCAATGCAAAATCACTCATGCAACCTGGGAGATCTCGATGTGAGAGAGACAACTGAGTCACAGATGCTAGACTATGGATAAGACAGACGTTAGAATAAGAATGCCATAGTTGCCATCATCAACATGTCCAACAAGCAAGTAGGAAGACATCAGAAGCAAATGTGGACTAAAGACTGGAGAGCCACCTACAGTGGAGTGTGCCCAGAGTCTGAGGTAGGAGCACTGCTTGAGGCCAGGAGCTAAAGACCGAAGACTGCCCTGGGGAACACAGTGAGACCCAGAGAGAACCCAGAGCAACCCAGTAGCTATTTTAAAACTGAAAAATTGTCCGGGCGGCAGTGGCATTTAATCCCAGCATATCTCTGAGTTCAAGGCCAACCTGGTCTACAGAGTGAGTTCCAGGACAGACAGGGCTACATAGAGAAAACCCTGTCTTGAAGAACAAAAACAAAACAAAACACACAAAGAAAAAGAAAGGAAGGAAGAAAGATAAAAAGGAAAAGAGGGGGGGGGACTGGAGCTGGAGAGATGGCTCAGGGGTTAAGAGAGCTTGCTGCTCTTACAGAGGACCCGAGTTCAGTTCCCAGTGTCTGTGTCAGGGAACTCCCAACCACTTGTAACTCCAGCTCCGGGGGGGTCTGTCTCCCTTTGAGATACACAGTGCACATACACATGGCACTTCCACGGGCATATCTACATTAAAAAATAAAAATACAGTTTAAGAAAAGTTTTTTGTTTTGTTTTTAGAGACATGGTCTTTCTGTGTAGCCCTGGCTGTCCTGGAACTCGCTCTGTAGACCAGGCTGGCCTCAAACACACAGAGATCCACCTGCCTCTGCCTCCCAAGTGCTGGGATTAAAGGTGTCCCACCACCACCTGGCCAGGAAAAGTATTTTTTAAAAGACTGAGGAGGTGGCTCATTAATTAAAGCATTGGTCACCCACTCATAAAGGCTGGAGTTTGACTCCCTAGAACCCCACAAACGGGCCAGGTAAGTATAGCAGCCTGGCTGTAATTCCAGCCTTGGGAGGTAGGGAGATGAGACCAGGTCCCCACAGCCAGCTGGCTAGCCAGGCTAGCCATATTGGTGAGCTCTGCATTTGATTGACAGACTCTGCCTCAATGAATAAGGTGAAAAACCAATCAAAGATGATTCCTAACATCAACACAGGACCTCCAGATGCAGTCACCCACACAGGTATGCCCACATATGTGCAAAAAATTTACAAGCACAGGCACCATAGACACACACACATGAAAATGGGGGGGGCATAAATATTCAGGCCTAAATCTAAAAAAAAAGCATATGGGACTCACACTGTAAATTACAAAATACGTAAGGTAAGAGAAAGCATAAATGGAAAGACACACTACGTTCATGGATTGGGATGGCTAACGGAGATTTCCTCCCAAGCTGGTCCACAAACTTCCTGCAATCCCTGTCAGGATCCCGGCTGACTTTCTGTGGACACAGATGAGAGTCTCATAAAATTTACATGGAAATAGAAAAGAAACAGAATAAAGAGCTAAAACAAATCTGAAAAAGAAAGATGACGTGGGAGAGTGTGTCCTCCACTCTCTATGCCGAGACTGGTTTTATAACTACCGTAACCAAGACTCCGTGGTGCTGGAATAGACGCAGAGCTGGACCACAAGCACAGCCAACGATTTAGGACTTGACAGAGCAGGGAAGACAATGTTTCCTCTGATTAACACCAGAGCAACTGGAGACACAGCTCCCACCCCCGAGAGAAAAATCTTGACCTTAATTTCTCACACTTTATCTCTAACTAACACAGCTTTAAATGTCAAATTCAAACGTGCGAACGGTGAGACCCTAACACTGGGGGGAAGTCTCAACCTCTCGGACCGAGGCTGCAGTGATGGGGCCTGAGATGGGGGGGGCCTGAGATGGGGGCCGGTGAGGCGGCTCGGCAAGCAGACGCGTGCTGTGTGTGATTGACAGCTTGAGTTTGATCCCTGGGACCCACGCGGTAGGAGGAGAGTACCTAGTGCCACAGGACCCCTCTGACCTAAACACACGCTTTTTTTTTTTTTTTTTTTTGGTTTTTCGAGACAGGGTTTCTCTGTGCATTTTTAAGCCAAATACGTCTCCGTCTCTCGTCCATCTTGCCACAGGAGTGCCACATTATCTGCATTTTTAAGCCAAATACAGATAATGTGGCACTCCTGTGGCAAGATGGACGAGAGACGGAGACAGGGATGGAGAAGCTGGAGGGTCAGCCAGACAACCCAGCTTGGCAGAGACAAGAGAGACTGCCTCTGCCCAGTGGAAGGAGAGAATCTACTTCTGCGGGTTGTTTCTAACCTCAACATGCTCACAGTGGCATGGGCACACACACAAAATAAGCAAAAATGAACTTAAAATTTAAAAATTAAAATGCAATACAATTGTGTTTAAGAGACACAAAAACTCATGTTTACATGAAACCTACACACAAGTATCCGTAGATTTTTTTAACATGTAAGCGTGAAAAACATGGGCTGATGAGCTGGCTCAGTAGTTAAGAGCACTTGTCGCTCTTGAAAAGGACCTAGTTCAGTTCCCAGCACCCACAGGCAGCACTCGGAACTTCCTCGAAGTCCAGCTTCGGGGAGCTGGCCTCCATGTGCTCCTCATGCATGTGAAATACATAAAACTCATGCAAGCAAACATATGTAACATAAATAAATAATAAGTACTTTAAAACAAACAACAACCAGAGGTCAAAAATCAGAAATAGATGAGTGGTTGCCTGAGAAAGGAAAGGACTGAGAAGGTCCAGCAGGGCTGACTGACTGAGAAGGGCGAGCGGGGCTGACTGACTGAGAAGGTGGAATACGGCTGACTGACTGAGAAGGTGGAGCAGGGCTGACTGACTGAGAAGGTCCAGCGGGGCTGACTGACTGAGAAGGTCCAGCAGGGCTGACTGACTGAGAAGGTGGAGCAGGGCTGACTGACTGAGAAGGACGAGCAGGGCTGACTGACTGAGAAGGTGGAGCAGGGCTGACTGACTGAGAAGGTCCAGCACGGCTGACTGACTGAGAAGGTCCAGCGGGGCTGACTGACTGAGAAGGTCCAGCAGGGCTGACTGACTGAGAAGGTGGAGCAGGGCTGACTGACTGAGAAGGACGAGCAGGGCTGACTGACTGAGAAGGTGGAGCAGGGCTGACTGACTGAGAAGGTGGAGCGGGGCTGACTGACTGAGAAGGGCAAGTGGGGCTGGATCTTGGCTGTGGATAGTTTGGGGTTCTTTTGTTTGCTTGTTGGTTGTTCAGTCATGTAACCTATGGCCTTGAACTTGGGAGCCTCCTGCTTCAGTCTCCCACATGCTGGGGCTCCAGGCAAGCACCCCCAACACCCCGCTTTACAAGTTCTGTCTTTCAGTGTTGCTGGGTACTTGGGTCTACAGATCTGACAAAGTGGCATACAGCCATGTGTGTTCTGTGCATCGTAGTCCTGGCCTCATTGTGATGTTAGGGTCTTGTGAATGGCACGTGATACTATTCTGCTCCTTGTTTGTGACTCTATGACTGTAATTACATAAAAATGAAAAGGTTTTTTTTAATGACTACAAGTCCCTCGTTACTGATTAATATCTTTGAAAACATGTTCACAGAAACCCTGTTGCCACCCTGGGTGGGAATATGATGATGGTTCAAGGCAGTACAGAGGTCTCCTCCAGAAACAGAGGCCCAGGACAGAGAGGGAAAGACCACAGAAAACAGACGTCTGCATTTGGGGACAGAGTCCTTTCATTGATTAGGAAAGGACCGGCAACCCTGTGGGAAGACTTCTCAGAGTAAGAAATCCAAACAGCCAATCAAAGTGAAAGGCATCTAACCTCAGAGATCATCAAGGAAACGCAAATCAAAACCACAGTGAGCCACTGTTCCCCACCCACCAGACAGATAAAAATAGCATTCACACGGAAGTGGAGCAAATGGAGCACTCACACCCCACTGAAGAGGCGTTCGATGTGGTCCCCACTATTTTTGGAAAAGTTTGACCCAACTACTTGGACAGGACTCAAGTTACTCATTCCCATATCTTTTCCCCTAGGTTAAAAAACAAGACCAAAGCTTGGGAAATGGTTCGGAAACTAGTGCTAGCCCTGAGAACATGAGGAGCGGAGTTCAGATCCCCAGCGCCACACACAAGGTCCAGGAGGGTGGTGACCACTGTGACCCTGGAAGACAGACAGGGTCCCTGGGGCAGCTGGCTAGCTGGATGAGTCTATGATAAGGTTCTGCTGAGAGAGCAAGTGGGGGCACCCTAGGAAAGTGCTGACACCAGCCTTGGTGTCTACACATACACATATGCACACCTACACACAGGCACACATGCACACGTATGCACATGCACACCACACACACAAATACCCAGTTAAAAAAAAACACATAACAGAACCTGTACTGCCATTTGAGAAAGAATGTAGAAGACTGGAATATGGCCACAGGGGACTGGAACCCAACCTGTGAGTGAGTCCTTTTTCTCTTCCTTCCTTCCTTCCTTCCTTCCTTCCTTCCTTCCTTCCTTCCTTCCTTCCTTTCTCTCTCTCTTTCTTTCCTTCTTTCTTTTCTTCTTTTCCTCCTCCTTCTTTTATTTCTTTCATATTTTAAGACAGGGTCTCACTATGTAGCCCTAGCTGTCCTAGAACTCACTCTGTAGCCCAGGTTGACCTCGAACTCACAGAGATCCACTCACCTCTGCCTCCTGAGTGCTGAGATTAAAGGCGTGCACCACCACTGCCCAACCTCCTCATAGAATCATATTTAGCTTATTAATGGATGAAATCTGCCTTTGAAAGTTTTCATTCTCTGTTATAGACCACCTTACACCCACTTCAACACCATCCGGTTCTCTCCACTTCCTCAAATACAGACCAGAGCTAAGGCCAAGGGTGTTTACTAACACAAGAAGTAACACTAGATCGGGTGATGCTCTGTATGGGGATGTGTGTGTGTGTTCACGTGTATGCAAGTGCACACGTGTGTATAGAGGTCAGAGGTCCACCTTTGTTTGCATGCTTTTTATGAGACAGGTGTAGCATGAATCTTAAAGAGTCTTATTAATAAAATCAAACCTGAGGCCAGTTATTGGGTGAATGCTGGAAGATCAGAGAAGCAGAACAGCTACCTCACCTTGCCAGTTCTTCAGCTGATCCTGTTTCCTCAGACTGGAAGCCTCTGAGTCCTCTTATCAGAATGGATCTCAGCTGAACTGCTGCTCAAAAGCCTAAAAGCTTAACCAGCCAAATGCTTCTGGTTTCTAGTCTTCACGCCTTATATACCTTTCTGCCTTCTACCATCACTCCCTGGGATTAAAGGCTCACTTTCTGGGATTAAAGGCGTGAGTCACCATGCCTGACTGTTTCCAATGTGGCCTTGAACTCACAGAGATCCAGAGGGTTTTCTGCCTCTGGAATGCTAGGATTAAAGGCGTGTGCTACCACTGCCAAACCTCTATGTTTAATATTGTGGCTGTTCTGTCTCTGACCCCAGATAAGTTTATTAGGGTGCACAATATTTCGGGGAACACAATACCACCACAGACAGGGTCTCTCACTGGCCTAGAATTTACCAACTAGGCAAGGCTGAGTGGGTAGCAAGCCCCTGGGGTCTGCCTGTCACTGCCTGTCACTGGCTGTCACCGGCTGTCCTGCATTGGGATCACAAGAACACACCATTGCATCTTTACATGGACCTGGGTTACCACACACACCTTACCCGCTGAGCTACCTCTCGACCTGAGGCAATGTTCTTTTCTGTTCCTCTGTGCCGTGGGCACCAGCTGACAGGGTACCCACACTTACACGTGCACAGTTACCTGGAACTACTGGGTACCCACACTTACACGTGCACAGTTATCTGGAACCGCCACATATTTGTCCCTTGTCTTCCCCACACTCTGGGTCTTGTTCTGTCTCCATCCCTTCCCTAGTGACATGCAGAGCACAATTCTTGTGGCTAGGGGGCCACCTTGTGCATTGTGGGGGTGGAGAGCCTCCCACCCCCTACTCCAACTATTCCTCCCAGCCCCAAGTCACAAGTACCCCCAACTGCCTCCAGACATTTGCCAATACCCTTGTGGGAACAAGCTTGTCCTGGTTTTGCAACCATTGTGTTAGCCAATCATATGTTCATAACTTAAAAAAAAAAAATCTAAGCCTACAAGAGGCTAGGTGAGTAAAGGCACTTGCTGTGCAAGCCTGAGGACCTGAGTTCGGTCCCTGAAGCAGGAGAAAACCCACCCTGCAAAGTTGTCCTGACTCCAGACGTCCTGCCACCCCCATCCTGTGTTGTGTCGGCCCCGCCCATCCTGTGTTGTGTTGGCCCCGCCCCATCCTGTGTTGTCGGCCCCGCCCATCCTGTGTTGTGTTGGCCCCGCCCCATCCTGTGTTGTCGGCCCCGCCCATCCTGTGTTGTGTTGGCCCCACCCCATCCTGTGTTGTCAGCCTTACGTTGCTTGAATATGTAGGGGAATTTCTTGCCGCTCCATCTGGCCACCACGAGCCAGAGAATGATGAAGAGCAGGAACAGCAGTATGGCCGAGGTCAGCGCCAGGAACACGGTAAGGACCTGCAAGGGGAGCCCTCCTTCGAGAGCAAGGAGAGAGATGCCAAAGTGTTTAGTGAGGACAAGCTGGATTTGAACTCGCCCCCCAAATACGTGGGCTCCAGTGAGGCAGCACCCTGAGTACCCTAACCCATAACTTAACAAGCTTAGATGACTTTACTGTCTTTTGTTTGCTCTGTTTTTTTTTTTTTTTTTTTTTTTTTTTTTTTTTTTTTTTTTGGTTTTTCGAGACAGGGTTTCTCTGTGTAGCTTTGCGCCTTTCCTGGAACTCACTTGGTAGTCCAGGCTGGCCTCGAACTCACAGAGATCCGCCTGCCTCTGCCTCCCGAGTGCTGGGATTAAAGGCGTGCGCCACCACCACCCGGCCTCTGTTTTGTTTTTGAGATAAGGTCTTAAGACTATACTTTCAGGGATCATTTCTATAGTTCGTTACTAGAGATAAGGTCTTATGTATCCCAGGCTAGCCTCAAGCTCCATATGTATCTGAGGATGACCTGGAACTCCTGATCCTCCTGCCTCCACCACCAGAGTGGGGATTACATGTATGCACCACCATGTCCAAATTCATACAGTTCTGGGTCCGGAATCCAGGGCCTTTCCGGCATGGAAGGCAGGGGCTCTACCCACTGAGTCACATCCCAAGTCCTAAACCTAAGTGACTTTTAAAAATGAACCCTACAGAAACTAAGTAGCCTGGACTACTGAGCATAGAGGAAACATGAGGCCCTTCAGCTCCCTGGACTTGGCCTCTGGAATCGCATGTTATCTGTTTGGGATGAGGGTCACCACTGATTACTGATTGAGTAACAACACTCAGGGAAACAAGGCAGGGGCTGAGAGGGTGGTACCTCAGAGCTGCCTGCTGTGGGCAGAGCTGGGAGACCCAGCCGTGCTGAGGACATCCCCTTAGAGGCTAACAGACATGATGCATTTGTTTGGATGAGCTTTTTCACGGAGTCTTACTATGTAGCTCAGGCTAGCCTGGAGCTTGCCGACCTCCTGCCTCAGCCTCTGTAGTGGAGTGATTCCAGGTGTGTGTCACCATACCCAACCATTCACTTTTATTTAATAGCAATAGAACAACCACCTGGTTTTCTCACCGGGGGCCGGCACGGCGGTGGGGGGGGAGGTAACTGGAGAGAGGCTGGCCAAAGTGGGCCCACAGACCACGTCCTTCTCCTTGGTCCCGTTCTCAAGCACGGACTTTCCAACTAGAGAGCAGCTTAGACAGGTCAAGAAAAAGAGTTCAGACGATTAATTTGGGTGCAGAGGAGCACAGAGAAGCACCTGGTATGTGTCACCCCGTGAAGTGACCACGTCATGCTGTAGGTGGGCTCGGGCTCACAAGCAACGGGTAGATCATGTGAGAAAGTTCCCCGTGACCCTCTGCCCTCCACCAGTTTCCCTCAGCTTTCAAGGTACCGTAGCTTCACCCCACTCCACCCACCCAGCAGGCTCGTCTCTCTCCCCAGGTTGAGGACCCACACGCACTCTGTTTTATTCCGTGAGAGTGTAGGTCAGTCAACATGTTTTGCCTCATTTGTTGAGAGACCCTTTCCCCCAAGTTCTTGCTCCTTTGACTGACGTGGGCACAAGTGGAGCATAAATAGAGCTTCCAGCAGCATCCCCAGACAAAGCAGGGATGACCCCTGGGTCTACCACTTTACAGAGTGACCTTCAGCAAGCTTGTAAAGCTTGTGTAAGCCTTGGTTTGCTCAGAGCTAAAAAGAGGGGCAGCCTGTGCTCCCAAGATTGGGGTTAAAGCAAATGAATGAGTCACAGGGAAACAATCTCACATGCTGGACACATTTAATGAATAACAACTGTTGTTGCCATCACCACCATCACCACCATCACCACCATCATCACCATCATCGTCATCACCATCATCACCATCACCACCATCACCACCATCACCATCATCACCATCATCACCATCATCACCATCACCATCATCGTCATCACCATCATCACCATCACCACCATCACCATCGGTGTAATCATCATCACTATCATCACTGACATCACCATCATCATCACCATCACCGCCATCACCACCAGCACATAGGCTTTTTCTTTTTCTTTAGAGCCCTGTTCATGTCCCATTTTACACAAACTCACTTGAATATTTTAATCAATTTAGGTTGAACGACCTTTTTTTTTTTTTTTTTTTTTGGTTTTTCGAGACAGGGTTTCTCTGTGTAGCTTTGCGCCTGTCCTGGAACTCGCTTTGGAGACCAGGCTGGCCTCGAACTCACAGAGATCCGCCTGGCTCTGCCTCCCGAGTGCTGGGATTAAAGGCGTGCGCCACCACCGCCCGGCTTGAAAGACCTTTTTAAAAAAACATTCTAGTCTGTTACCCACCAGGACATTTGTAAAACATTATAAATATGTAACCAAAGTAACAAGAAAACTCAGTTTCTACTAAGGAAATCAAACAGGAAAAGATCACAGGCATTTAAAATGTGATTTTCATCATCAGAGTCAGCTGCCCACGACTGCCAGTTTACCTTCACAATCTCTGAGACAGCATGTTCCATGCCCAGACCACTGCTGTCCTGGCACCATCAAACCTCACCTGGACCAGTGCCAACCCTGGAGGCGTGAGCACATTTGGACCCTTGCTACTGGCTGTGTCCCTCCAGTGGCCAGCACACCACATAGGTGTGAATGACACACTGTAGAGACAGATGGCTGTACCCTGCCCTGTCATGCTCGGTGATGACCCTGAGCACTGTGGGCCAATCAGTCAGGGACGGTGACAACCAAGGACTTAGAAACAGAGAGCTGGAGACCCATCAAGGCAGAGGGTGGCAGCTCCACCAGACTGCTCACTGCACACCAGCATGTTTTCTGAGGAATACCCACATTCAGACAAGACTGTGACCTCACAGAGTTCCCCTGTCACCTAGGGGTGTGTCGCTGCGGATCTACACTCCAGTGACAGTGTCCTTCGTTTTTAGTTTGTCTCAGGTTCTTTATGTTGTGAGAAAAATGAGCATATATACGTACTTTGTCCAGAGTCGACAGCTGCCACCACCGTTCTGATCATTAAATGTCCCGAAGCCACAGTTTTTACAACCTTGAAGAAAAGTTGGGCATCAATAGGAGGCGTTTTACCATTTTACAACTTTCCTTGTGATGAACAAGAGGCTTGGTGTCTTTAGGTTAACCTGTGCAAACTGCTTCATGATTATTTTAATCTTTTATTCACATGTATGTGTGCATGTTTCTGTATGTGCCTATGTGCATGTGAGTGCAGTACCCACAGAGTCCAGAAGAGGGCATCAGATCCCCTGGAGCTGGAGTTACAGGCCATTGTGAGCAGCCTGCTGTGGGTGCTGCGAACTGAACTTGAGTCTCTGCACGAACAGCAGTCACTCTTGACTGAGCCATCTTTCCAGTCCCTGCTTAATGATTCTTGAATTGAAATCTGAGATTTCTCATTTCCAATCTAATCACAGAAGTAATATTGTGTATATCTAAAATGTGCAAAAATACACGGCTCTGATGATGAACACAATTTCCTGGTTTCTGGTTATTTCCGTTTATGGAAACACAGTAGAATACATAATGGAATACAATTCAAACACAGTATTGGCACCGCATACTGCATCTCTGTCGAGGTTCTCAAACCATAAGAAACATGTCTCCATCACAAACTTGAGCCGGGTGGAGAAAGAGCACACCTACCCTGCTCTGTTAACTCTTGGCCTGGCTTGCAGTCCTTTTCACACCTGGCACACTTTGGCCCCAAGCAGTGGAGTCCCTCGGTGCATTCACACTCTGCATCACTGGTCGAGGAGCAAGGCTTCTTCAACCTGAAATAACCTACAAAGACCCAGCTTTGTGTTACCCTTGACCTCCAAATCGGGAAACAAATTTTTCTTCTTCAGTTTAAATATATATGTGTGTGTGTGTATGTGTATGTATATATATGTATATATATTTAGCTAGAGTTTTCCTGCCTTGCCCACAGTCAGGACAAATCTCTCTCATCCGCCAGTCCCACAGCCGCTCAGACCCAACCAAGTAAACACAGGGACTTATATTGCTTACAAACTGTATGGCCATACCAGGCTTCTTGCTAACTGTTCTTAATCCATTTCTATAAATCTATACCTTGCCACATGGCTCGTGGCTTACCAGCATCTTCACATGCTGCTTGTCCTGGCTGCGGCTGGCAGTGAGTCCTTCTGCCTTCCTGTTCTTTCTTTTCTCCTCTCTGTTAGTCTCACCTATACTTCCTGCCTAGCCACTGGCCAATCAGTGTTTTATTTATTGACCAATCAGAGCAACACATTTGACATACAGACCATCCCACAGCATATATATGTGTGTATATGTATATATATATATGTATGTGTATATATGTGTGTATGTATAGATATGTATATATGTGTATCAATATATATATTCATTTCTCTGCTTATAATGTTGGTGCCATTATAACTTTAGAATGTTGTGTTTGCCTAATTATTGTCTTTTTGTGAAATAGGGCCTCATTGTGTAGCCTAGCCTAGGCTTAAACTAAAAATTCTCCTGCCTCAGTCTCCTAGTGCTGGGATTGTGTGCCACAATGCCTGGCTTATATTGTTCTATTTTCAACCCCCATTAAGATATTTTTACACTTTGCTCACTAAAAGCTTTTCTTGGGCTGGGGAGGCAGCTCAGTGGTGGCATGCTTGCCTAGCATGCCAAAGCCCTGGGTCCCATCCCCAGGACCTCATAAACTGTGTGGTGGTGCGTGGCTGTAACCTCAGCATTGGGGCAGGAAGAAGAGAAGTTTGAGGCCAGCCTATGCTATGTGAGACCCTATTTCTTAAAAAAAAAAAAGCCAGGCATGGTAGTGCACACCTTTAATCTCAGCACTCCAGATGCAGAGGCAGGTAGATCTGAGTTCCAGGCCGGCTTGGCCTACAGAGTAAATTCTAGGTCAGCCAGGGTTACATAATGAGACCCAGTCTCAAAACAAAACACAAACAACAACAAAAACCTTCTCGCCAAAGGAGTATTTCCTCTATTATTTAAAAAATTTAGCAAAAAGTGATAGCCTGCCAGTGGCCAAGTCAGAGGAGCAGCAGGTGGCAAGTGACTTCAGGGGACCAGACCACCAGCATGCAAGACCCTGATGAGTGAATCTCAGATAGGCAAGGCCCCAAGAGCCTCGGCCCCAGAAAGTCTCTGTTACTGCTGTGTCTTTTACGTGTTTGCCGCTGCCATTTTTCTCTGGTATCTGGCATGGTGTGAATGGGCGTGGGGGGAAAACCACTGCCCTTAATGTGGTGTGATCATCTCATGGAAATATCCTGTTCTAGTGGGCATTTTTTTTTTTTTTTTGATTTTCCGAGACAGGGTTTCTCTGTGTAGCTTTGCGCCTCTCCTGGAACTCACTTGGTAGCCCAGGCTGGCCTCGAACTCACAGAGATCCGCCTGGCTCTGCCTCCCGAGTGCTGGGATTAAAGGCGTGCGCCACCACTGCCTGGCTCTAGTGGGCATTTTTACCTGTGGATTATTATGAAGATGATTTCCTCCTAAGCTGTACTGTTTAACTGAAGCAATAATTTTATACAATAATAGTGGTAGTTTAAATGGGATGTTGATGATTGAGGGTCTTTAATAAATATAGAAAGGGATTATGATAGAGGTTAGCTTAGCGGGAAAACTAACACAGGTCAAAGCAAGCTATGGTGTTGCCCCACCCCTGATAAAATGGGGGCTGCAGAGGACAGAAAATAAGAACAAGGAAATGTCACACAGCTAGTTTCTCCTGAGGAGCCACATAGACTGTGGCTTATGTTAATGGTTAAGAAAAACAACTGAGTCCCAGAGGCTGGGTTAGCTCAAGTTCTTTTAATCTTAATGTTGAGAGATGTGTTCACAGGTTTCAGTGTGCATCATAGCTGAAACAAAGCTTTAACTGTGACTTAAGGTTAGATTAAGCTGTTTTTGTTAATGGCTTTGAAGTTAAAAAAAATCTTGGAAAACAATTTAAAGGCATACTTCTAATAGCTGAGTGAGGGACCTGTTGAGGTCAGGGAACAAGGACAGTGACAGCCTGGCTATTGCTGGCTGACGTACCTTTCTTGCTAGGATGGGCTGGTGATCAAGGGTGATGATTAATTCCTTGTGCCCATTTCTGCCCTCGGCTTCCTGATATGAAAACCCATTGATGAGTGGGTATGCAGCCTGAGGATTGAAAGTAGAGCTGACTGATTGTTTTTCATATAGAAAAGTTTAGATTTGGGATTCTTCTAAGATTTCTTATAAGATTACCTGTTGAGATAAATAATAAAATGATTGGTTCTTTCTTTGTAACTGAAAAAATGCAGCCTGGCAGTAAAAGAACTGGCTGAGAAAAATACCTTGCCTACACTCTGTTAATTTATAACAAGTTGCTTGGACATCGATGTACGTGGGTTCTTAAGACAACTTGTTTTTCACCTGTAATATGTTAAATGTTTAATCATGTAAGGGAGATGAAAAACATGCTGTTTTTTTACGTGTATACATTGTAATCACGCACTTAAAAATAGTGTGTAACCTCACTATAATTTTTATATTGCTTTCAAGATTTTGCCGGGGTACATAAGCTGTAAGGGAAAAATGGAGTTAGAAGGAAAACATCAAGAGAGACAGAAGACATCTGGATAGAGGTAAGAAAAGAAACAGAGAACAGAGAGAGAAGATGATGGAGAAACCCTAAAGGGGTGTGTGTGTGTGTGTGTGTGTGTGTGTGTGTGTGTGTGTGTGTGTGTGTGTGTGTTTCCTTTTTCACCAGCCCCAGAGAGTTAAGTTTACTCCCTCAGATAGAAAAGTCAAGTTGAATGATTAGTTAGCTGACTTCACTGGATCCCCCAACCCCTGAGCTGCTGGAGGCTGGTCCTCAAGGCAGTGGTAAGAGCTATTCCATGAAATAATTTGCCTACACCTGCTGTGGACAGAGGCATCAGCACCTCTGTGAAGCTTGAGGTTTTAAATAGAGACCAGTTAGCAAAGAGAGACCAAAGCTGGTCTCTCCCCCTGCAATCCTAAAGACTGAGACACCTCAGTTTAAAGCAGACCTCCAGACTTGGGAGGCTGAAGATCACAAGTTCCAGTCCAGCTTGGGCAACAGCAAGATCCTGTCTCAAAACAGACAAGCAGACCTACCTACACACACTTTGCAGATGTTGCAGTATGGCTGTCCACCCCTGATGGAGTAAGTGCTTGGAGGGCAGCTGGTACAAACTGGATTGTCTTTCTTGCAGAAAGTACCTGAAAGGCATCATCGGTTTCTGTGTCTGACGACAATACTCGACCATCACTCAAAGCATTATGAGGAAATCAAAATAAATGCTCTGTCTGTCCTCTAGGAATCATGGTAATAGACATGTTTATGGATTGGCATTTTAAGACTATACATTTGCTGAGTGACCCTTAGCATAATCCAGCAACTAGGATTAATAACATTAATAACAACATATGAATGCTGTAAAAAAGAAATCAAGAGAAGAAAACCCTGAATCTGTTGAGCAAGACTACGACTCCTCTGGCAGATCAGAGCCTGGGGACAGGAGCCAGGAGAAGAGTACCGCTGCCCCCTGCTTGTACCTTGCTGCAGAGTGCACCCTGTATACAAGGCTAACCTTTACTGGGTGCTGTTCTGAGCCTTTCCCGGGACTTTCCACGCACCCCTGAGACAGCTTCTCTGATTGTACTCAAATGGCAAAGTTGGGGTGCTGAGGTTCGGTGAGTGAGCTGGGTCCCCACAGCCACTCTGTTGTATCCAACAAGCCTTTGCTGAGCCTTTGCTAGCCAAGCTACCCAAACCGAGTTTTCCACAGTCAGAAAAAGCAGCTGTCAGTTTGGTACTCACCAGCCTCACACTTGTCACAGGAATCCCGCAGGGCTCTCGTCCTTTCGGTGCCCACCACCAGCAGCACAGTTACCACCATGTAGCAGCTGTTTCCCATGACAAAGTCTCGCATACATATGACACTAGCAAAGACGATTCCAAAAGAATTTCAATCAAACGGGCTGCCCTCTCGCTGGCAGTGTGGCTCAATTGGTAGGGTGCTTGCTTAACATGCACTGCTACTTCAGAAACCATAGTGGTGGCCCATGCCTGTAACCCCAGCATTCAAGAGGTGGAGGCAGAAGGATCAAGAGTTCAAGGTCATCCTCAACTGCAAAGTGAGTTCAAGGCCAGCCTGGACTACATGAGACCCTGTCTTTAACAGAGGGGGTAATCTCACAAATGCCATTCTGCAAAATACAAGCAGGGTGGGTTTTTCTTCCAGAACTATCTACATTGCCACCAATACTTAAACAGTTCTGTGGGGCTTTAATGAGAATTAAGATTGGAATATTGGGGCTGAAGAAATCGTGCAGGGGTTGAGAGCACACACACTGCTCTTGTAGAGGACCCAGGTTTGGTTCCCAACACATGTTGGGTGGCTCACAGCTGTCTATAACTACAGCTCCAGGGGACCCTATGCCTCTGGCCATCTGCACTCAAGTGTGCATACCCACATACACACACAATTTAAAATTTAAAAATCTATTTTTTAAAAAACCTGGAATATTATGGAAACATAGCAAATTCATAGATCATTCTATAATAGCCATGGACTTGGTGCATGTCCACCAAAGCCCAGGGTGGAATCTCATGTTCTTCACAATTCCAGGGACAGTGAGAGCAGGAACATTAGGTACTTTCAGGTTCTTGGCATGGACATCTGTATCGCTGCCATGCTGCCCTTGAAGCAAAGTCCTGATGATGAATGCCATCTAATGGGTCCCTTCAGTGAGAGGGGAGCCCATGGTTATTGTTCTGTCCTCTTTGACTGGATATTTAATTGTTCCAACTTTGAAAGGCCTCTGTTAAATTTCACAGGACTGAACTTGCCAATTTTGAGATTTGAAGCTTGCAAATAAATAAATAAATAAATAAATAAGGCAATTAAAAAATTCTGGGACTACGGATGAAGCTCCTCAGTTGATGGAGTGCTTGTCTAGATGCATGGAGCCCTGGGTTCCTACCCTAGCACTCTGTCAGGCTCAGTGGTTCACACCTGTAATCCCAGCACCCAGGAGATGGAAGAAGGAGACTCAGAAATTCAGGGTCATCCTTGGCTATACAGAGAGTTTGAGACTAGACTGGGCTACATGAGAGCCTGTCTTAAAAAAAAAAAAAAAAAAAAAAAAAAAGCGCCGGGCAGTGGTGGCGCACACCTTTCACGCCTTTAATCCCAGCACTCGGGAGGCAGAGGCAGGTGGATCTTTGTGAGTTCGAGGCCAGCCTGGTCTACAGAGCGAGATCCAGGAAAGGCGCAAAGCTACACAGAGAAACCCTGTCTCAAGAAACCAAAAGAAAAAAAAAGAAAAAAAAGAAAAGATGGGGGAGGCAACTTCATTTTTCTTGGTCTTTATATAGTTGACTATGAGATAGAAGTCATAAATTACAAGGGAAGAAAAGTCTAGAAATCTGCAGTGAGAACACAGTCCATCCTTACTTCTCTAGCCCCCCCAGTCCCATGCAGACAAACCTTGTGATCTCAGGGCAGTGAAGAACCTTCTGCTCTGTCAGAAGCTCAGCGAAGTTCTGCCGCCCCAGAAGACCACAGGTCAAACACAGGACTTGGTGACTCAACTGAACACGAGGGGCCTCCTGGGAAATCCCCAACACAGTTCTGGGAGGCCGTTCATCTCCTTGCCACTCTCAAAATCCCCATACCCAGTACCCAGTACTTGATATTGTCACTTTGAAAGGGTTTTGGAATCAGATGTCGATCCTTAGGACATTTCCTAAAGAACTTTAGGGAAAAGATTTGGTCACTTAACGTAGTCCTTTTTCTATGCCAAAGCTTTTGATGTGTCCTTAAAATATCGGAGACTTAAGGGGTGGGGCGAAACTAAAGTAAACAGTGCCTTTGCCACAAACCATCTCCTGAACTATAAAAACAGAGGACGTGCCTCTGAAGCCCAGGACGGAGCTGCGCTGTGGAGAGTGCTGCCCAACCCTCTAAGAGATCCAGGATCAGTCTCATTACTGTTGTTATTAGGATGCCCGTGTGCAAATGAGAAAGCTGTATATGTGGGGATCCTCAGGCGGAGGGTGAGCAGGATGTGTTGTGTCAGTGTGTGTGAGACTGGGGAGGAAGGAAAAATGCGGGCAGGGTGGAGGGAGAGAAGCGGGCGTTCACAGGCACTAGGTGATGTTACTGGGCAAAGTGGGACCCCATGAGGATTTTTAGAGAAACGTTAAATTGAGTGGGGAAAAAAAGTAAAGGGGAGGAGGAGGAAGAGAATGGGAGGGAGGAGGAAGAGGAATGGAGGAAGTGGTTGCTATGGAAACTGAGATGAACTTGTTCATCAAGTGACTGAAGATGCTCAGGAGAACGTAGCCTGGGTGGGTGGGTAGGGATCATAGTGAGAGAGGCTGGACATAGAGGCACACAGCTGTAATTCCAGCACTCGCAAGGCTGAAGTAAGATGATGAGTTCTGAGTTGCAAGTCTGCCTGGGTTACACAGCAAGACCTTGTCTTTAAAAAGGGCAGTTGTATCTAAAATAGTTGGACTTCCCACCGGAATTCAGATGGCAAGGAAATACTTTTTTCCACAAGAGAAATGGAGACATGCTCTTGGGCTGAGCGTTGAGGGAACAGAAGGGAGCTGACATTTAGTAATACACTTATATGCTAAACATGTTCCAGGACTAAACGAGGCCAACCATGTCACTGCCCTCCTTAGAAACTTCCAGTGGAAGGGCTGGAGAGGTGGCTCTGTGGTTACAATTGTGTAGTGTTCTTACAGAGGATCTGAGTTTAGTTCCCAGCATCCACACTCGGCAGCTGACAATGACCTGGAACTCTAACTCCAGGGGAAATCCAGCGCCCTCTTCTGGAGTCCTTGGGTACTTGCATTTATGCACACATCCACCACATATACGTGATTTAAAAATAAAAGGGGCTGGAGAGGTGGCTCAGTGGTTGAGTACATACTGCTCTTGCAGCGGGCCAAGTTAAACTCTCAGCACCCATAGCAAATGGCTCATAACTGCCGGTAGCTCCAGCTCCAGGGGAGTCCAATGCTTTGGGTCTCTGCAGGCACTGGTGCACACATGCACATACCCACACACATGTACATAATTTAAAAATAGGTAAATAAATCTTTAGAAAATAAATCTTGAAAAATAAACTTCCAATGGCTTCTTGTGCCCACATACAAAAGCTGGGACCTATAGTTCACCCTAATAAGGCCCCGTGTCCTGTAATGTAAATTTCAACCTTAAGGTATACAAAGTTCAGTAGATTTTAGTATATTCACTGTGCTATGAAACTATCACCTTTAGTTAATTACATAACATCCCCATCAAAAAGAAATCCCAGGGCTAGAGAGTTGGTTTGGTGGTTAAGAGCACCGGCTGTTCTTGTAGAGAACCTAGGTTTGATTCCCAGCATCCCACGTGGCAGCTCACAACTGCCTGTAACCCTAGTTTCAGGAAATTTGATGCTCCTTCTGACCTTCTCAGTCACTGCATGCATATGGTGCACATAGACTCACACATACACACACAAACACGCATACACATAAGTTTTCCTAGTTTTTTGAGACACTGTCTCTCTCAGTATGTAGCCTTGGCTGGAACTCAATCTGTAGACCAGGCTGGCCTAGAAACCACAGAGATCCACTTGTACCTGTCTTTACCTTCTGAGTTCTGGGAACTCCCAGAGATCCACATGTGCCACCATGCCCAGCTTTTAAGAAATATTTAAAAACAGGAATCCCTAAAGCTGGTGTGGTGGCACACACCTTTGATGCCAGCACTCGGGAGGCAGAGACCAGCCTGGTCTACACAGTGAGTTCTAGGACAGCCAGGGATACACAGAGAAACCTTGTCTCAGGAAACAAACAAGAAAACCAAAATCCCACATATATTGTATCTCCCAGAAGCTTTAATCTTGTCCCTGAGACTAATCTTGTCTCTGTGTACTGTCTCTTCTAGAAATACATAAAATATAATTAGCCAATCTGTGGTTTTCTGACTTGCTTCTTTCACTTTGCATATTTTTAAGATCCATTAATGTTGTAGAATGTATTGATACTTCATTCTTTTTCTTGGTGTAGTAATATTCCTTAGAAGGATATATCACATTCTGTTTATGCATCCAGCAGCTGATGGACGTTTGAGTTGCTTCCACTCATGACCTTTATGCTGCCATTCAGGCATGCCATATGCATACCTGAATCATTCTCTTTGGGGTACACTTAAAGGTGGAACTCCTGTGCCAAGTAGTAGTTGAGTTTCCCTCTGGGGTTGTCCACAGCAGCTGCGTCAATTTGCAGCCCTATCGGTAGCAAACAGAGCTTTCAAGTTCTCCACACACTGACAGTGGTGACTTTTTTCCATTAAAGAAAAGTGATAGGCCATCCTGGAGGTGTTGAGGTGGTAACTCACTGAGGATTGATTTTTTTGACCTAGGATTCTGACTGCTTGAATTCCGCAAGGGAAGGAGTGGAGGCATGGAGTGATGGTACAAGCCCACATTTGGCCATCAGTCTGACCAGGATGAATCCAGACGCTGACATTTATGGTCATGTGACCTTAGAAAGATGAATTTTTTTTTTTTTGCGCCCATAAGTCTCTGTTTACCTAATTGGACTTTATAGTATAGCAGTTCTGGTCCATCCTGTGTATTGAGGACCAAAGGAAACAAGCCAATGCTAGTTTCATAACTCAGTACCTGGCATGCATGTCCTAAGAAAACAGAACTCTCACAAGATGTGGTTTTGAAATATTCCACCTCCAGTCTCCCACCACAATCATCAATAAAGCAGCTACAAGCCAGGCGGTGGTGGCCCACGCCTTTACTCCCAGCACTTAGGATGAGCAGAGGCAGGCAGATCCCTGAGTTCGAGGCCAGCCTGGTCTACAGGGAGCATTCCAGGACAGTCAGGGCTATACAGAGAAACCCTGTCTCAAAAACCAAACCAAGGGCTGGAGAGATGACTCAGAGGTTAAGAGCACTGACTGCTCTACTGGAGGTCCTGAGTTCAATCCCCAGCACCCACATGGTGGCTCACAACCATCTGTAATGAGATCTGGTGCCCTCTTCCAGCCTGCAGGCAGACATGCAGACATTAAAAAATAAATAAATCTTAAAAACAAAACCAAAAGCAGCTCCAGGAGGAGAACAGAGTGACCATCTAGGAATGTACCCTGTGAGCTCTGCAGAATCGTCCCGCTCTGACTTTGGTGACAGGAAGTCAGTCTGTCACACCATAAAAAGACACACAGCCACACTGCCAATCAGATCACCTCAAGTTTTCAATGTCATGGGCTGACCCAGTGGCCATATCATGTACCATATGCATGTGCTCTGTGCCCCTGCTGCACGGTGACATTTAGCTGAGTGCTGCCCACTCCTGTCATCTGGGTGTTTGTGGGCAGAGCTGTCACCTCCCCTGAAGTGACGTCACTCCTTTTCCAGCACAGTGACATTCACTTGGGCCCCTCCACCTGTGACACATGTCTCCACTGAGCTAAGAGATTCTCAAGATTAGTTTTATCAGCCTGCAGTTGAACCCGACCAACCGATTCAGGAGTGCTTTCATCACATCCCTGCAGCTTTGCGTGATAAAATCACCATGGCAACAGAGGGTGGATGATAGCAAAGCGCTTAGATGGTCATTTGCTTTATCCATTTTGTCTTTCTAATCTTTCAAATGCAATTTAAAAAATCACAAAACTACAAAATCTTCCCAGGTTCAGACAGTGAGCATCAGCCCTTGACAGTATCAATAAAACAGCTCCTGCTTCATTCTGAGATCTTAGTCTGAGCCAGGGGCCAGCTCTCTATGGTTTAATTGCCTGTGTGTCTCTGAACATCTCAAGTGAGTGTGACTGTGGGGCTGGGCAGCATGAAGTCCCATCTGTCTAAGGAGATAAAGGAGAAGTTTACAAGAAAGACGAAGATGTCGAGCACAGTAGCGCACACCAGCAAACCCAGTCCTTGGAGGAGGATCAGGAGCTCAGGGTCATCCTCGGCTACATAGTTTGTTCAGGACCAACCTGGGCTATTTGAGATTCTATAAAAGAGAGAGGCAGGGAGGGAAAGACAGGGAGATGGGGGGGCAGTCAGAAGAGAAAGGAAAACAGCCCCTTCCTCTGAAAAATGCTTCTGTCCCCTTGGGAACATTTTAGAGACATCTAATCCAAGGACTATTTCCTGTCCTTGTGACTTTACCCCATACCCTGGACAGCTGTCCAGTAGGTAATCATCAGATAAGACATTCATTCACTTGGAATACCAACAGGAGCTGACCTGGAGGAGAGAAATCAAACAGAACTTGGACAAAGGAAAGTGGATAGAAACCACGGAAAAGAGCCTTCCTGAGGAAGGAAGCAGCATGTGAGGTGAGATGCTGACACCAGCCTGCTGGGCTTCCTCCAGCTTCTGCGCTCTCCCTGGGGGGGGGGGTGTCCACTGCACATTGGTGGCTCATAAATATTTACACCTTACCTCAGACCAACCACACTGCCCCAGCCCTGCACAGTGCACAGAACAGAGTATCCGTGGAAACCCACACATAGTATCCAGATTTTTAGAAGAAATCTGTCAGGTAAGACCTGTTAAATAAGAGCTCTCCAGGCCCACAGACACATA